CGGCTGGCCAGACAAATAAAACATCATCACGATAATCATCTCATAATCTTTTGTCTTCATCAAGGTAGATTGAAAAAAAAAAATCTAACATCTGCGCCTTGGCCGTCATATATACCAACGTAATTCAACTTGCTACTCCCTGACGACTCTTGGGTTTCCCATCTCCTCCTTTCTTCATCCCCCCTTTTTTTGCTTCCGCTTTGATACACCCCCGTAAGTACACTTTTTGCCCTTCCTCGAATTATTAAAAGACATGGCAGCATAAATGGCACAATGTGAATCATGTCACATTTCGTAGTCAGGCGCAGCAGATTCTCATTATTGTAGGAAACTCTACGCGTCACCGAGCATCCCGCTCTCCATCAGGCTCTGGTAGAATTCTGGCTCCAAGAACGTCTTGACGCTGACATCCTCGCTGAGACCCTTGCGCCTCCTCGTCTTGAGCACAAAGTCTCTGGCCGTGGCCTGCGCAGAAGCAGGCTGAAGCGGTCTTGTGATTTGGTCTCTGTCAAGCGGATCGCCGGGCACGATGCTCCAGCTGTCAAACACCAGGCTGACCATGGAGCCACCCTGTGTCTTGATACGCAGATCCGTCTCGAAGCCAAAGCTGTCGACGACGGGGAGCAGGCCGTTTACGCGATAGAGGGGTGTGCCGGCGACGGGGCCGTCGGACAGGACGTGGCCTCGGCGTCTTGCGAGCACATTGTAGACCTCCATGTAAGAGTCCTCCGGCCCGGTGACTGACACAGAGTAGACGGGCTCCATTAGACGAGGAGAAGCCATGAGGAAGGATGAGTAGCATGCTCTCCGAGAAGTAGGAATGATTTGACCACCGCCGCGGAAAATGGCCTCGTTGGCCAAGACCACGTCTGTGACCTTGAATTTGGTGTTACGGATGGCTATCAACAGCTGTTAGCGAGTGGCCGCCTACAACAATTTGGTGTTTGGGAACGGGAAAGTAGTTGGGACGTACGCTCTTCACAGAGGGGACCTTCACGAGTGGCCCAGCTGAAACCCTGTCTGATGGACTCTTTCACAGTATTCAGCAGCTTCTTGTCGACCTGATGTAAAGAAGAAGAAGAAACAATCGTTAGTGAGCTTGTTCAAACAGAAGCCCGGCCTTTCATGTAAACTTACCTCAGTAGGCAGGGTGTCGTCCTGGAGAATGTTGGGCCCCATCTCGTCAGGGCCAAAAGCCCAGATACTCCTGGCCGCCAGCTTGTCCCAGCCGTGGTTCTCTTCAAAGAACTTGGCCGTTTTTCGTACTGGATCCCGTATTCTAACAGCACCCGTCTCGATGTCCGTGGATATGCCCTTCTCCAGCTGCTCCGCCACCATGGTGATTTTGTTCTTCTTGTTCGGCGTGATGGCGTAGCATTTTGTCGCCGAAGTTTCCACTACCGTCTCACAGAATCTTGTTACCGGATCTGACACCTTGATATCCATGTCGGCATACAGCCGCCGCAGATCGTGCAGAACGCAGTCCATGTAGAGCTCTCCGGTTCCCAGGATGATGTGCTCGCCAGATTCTTCGACTTTTGTGTTGATGAGGGGGTATGATTTTTGGACTTTGCGTAGTCCGTCAAGCATCTTGGGGAGCTCGGAAGGGTTGATGGGCTCAACAGCCACTTTGAGAACAGATTCAGTAAAGTGAGTGACAGGCCTGAAGATGAAGGCATCTTCATCATCCTCCAGCTTGGGAGGGACGATTGTCGCAGATTTAACAATTGAGTTGTCTACGCCTCCCAGCAGTACCAAGTTGCCCGCCGGGACACCGTCTGTGGGAATGTTGTATCTTGTCTCTGCAATGAATACTTCTGCAATGGAGGCCATTGTCATATCTTCTTCATCGTCAAGGGAATAGCCTTCGCCGAGAACCCTCACCGCCGCACCAGGTCGGGCTGTACCGCTCAGGACACGTCCAAACGAGTAAAAGCTCTTTGCGTCGGAGGTGTTGAAGAGCTTTGTGACGTGGACTACCAAGGGGCCGTCTTGGTTGCACGCCTTCATTGACTCCGCAACCTTTGTATCCAGAGGACCGGTGTAGTATCGCTCCAGCAATCGTTGTGCACCCTCTGCTGGCGACGGGATGTGCTTTACAACCATGTCGACGAAGCCCGAAGAAGGGCCAAAGAACTGCTCGCATACCAGCTTGAGGATGACATTTGCATCTGCCTTGTATTGTGACGGCTTCAGCTCAATGCCAAGCGAAGCTAAGACTAGTTTCAGCTGCTCGGGGCTATCACTGATGGAGTGGGTGAAGATTTTGTAGATGGGTTCGAGAACGAAGTGGACAAAGGATCTGGCAGATCTGTCTTCTGCCGGTTTGCGGGTGAAGTTTCGCTTCTTTGGGTTATAGTAAACATCTCCCCATAGCCGCTTGGCAAACTCTTCTGCGTTGATGTCGCCAAAGGTGTCTGTGTACATCTTGGCAAAGGAGGGCAGCGTGAAGCACCACCCCATGTCCGTGCATGCGAAGAGAACGTTGCCCTTTTCGGGACTTAGTCGCCGTGAGGCTGCTTTGGTTGGGATGGTGTTGGCAATGACTGTGTTGACCTCTTCTACAACATGCTTGAGCTTGAAGTAGGCGTCCTTGGGAGGCAGCTTCAGCTCCAGGATCAATCGATCTACCTTGTTGATGATGAGCGTTAGGGGAACGTCTTCCAAAACAGCGTGCTTGATGATCTGTTCGGTATTGACTTGGACACCCTCAACCACGTCCACGACCAGACACACGCCATCCACTAGCCTAGAGGCCGCTGCCACCTCATCTACAAAGTTGACGTGGCCAGGGGTATCAATGATGTTGAAGAGGTGCGACTTTCCCTTGGTGCTCTGGAGAACAAGGCTCATGGGCGCAGCCTTGATGGAGATTCCCCGCTCTCGCTCCAGCATGTGGACGTCGGTGTATCGTAGGGCTTCGTCACGCTTCTTGCCGACTCTCCGCTCAAGCCTGTCGGTAATGTCATGAGTCTCTAGGACAAGCATGTCCATAAACGCCGTCTTTCCGTGGTGCAGATGGCCGGCCAGCGCAATGTTCCTTGTTTGCTCGGGGAAGTTCATCAAATCGGCCATGAACTCGCGATCGAAGTAGACCGGGGGCAGGTCGACCTCCTCGATGTTGAACTTCTTCTGCTCGACCGGCGCAATGATGGGCTCCGTTAGAGGCTGCGCATCTTCCTCTTCTACTCGCGTCTCGACGTCGGCGCCGTACACTTGCTCAGCGGTGGGGTAGTATTGCTTGTCCTCATGGAGAATGACGGCATTCGAAGGTCCATCTGCTTCGGGGCGCAATCAGCCATCTGCTTTGCAAGTCAAGGCGTATATCGGCCTACCATCGAGCTCCATCAGCTCCTGTCCAGTGACACTGGGCGCCCCCTCGTGCTCATCGTCGTAAGTATAGTCGCCCGCCTCTTCTCCAGCCTCGGACGCTTCCTCGGACTCAACCTCCTCCCCAATGAAGTTTCCGAACCTTGGGAGCTTGTCAGCAGCGCATTCCGAGCAAATCTTGCATGCAGAAGAAATCAAATCTTACTCATCGTAGAGATCATCCATTTTGCCGCCGGTCTAGTCCAAAAGCCAAGGTCAATGGCGGGCGACAAAGTCAAGATGCTCAAGACACGGGTATCGTCGCAAGTCGCGTGTACCTGCTGTACCGACCGCCTGCCTTGTACCAAAACGGGTCTCTAGCAACTTTTTTTTCGCAGGCAAAGCTGGCCGGAGCATATCACGTGGTGATATGCAAAGCTGAAGCATTATCGCATCTTATCTTATCGGAGTCATCTTCGTTTTTGAATCTTAGTCATCAAGCCGCATGAACTTCAACTTTGGACAAGGTACTCCATACTTCGTATTGCAGCGTACCATTGTACTTGAGCCCTTCAGCTTGGCTCAGGTTTGTTCAACAGAGGCTTCAATCTACATCTTACGTGCATGGTTGACGGCTGTGATATGGGCGTTATCTTGATTACTGAACGTATTATTGGATCGGAAGGATTGAATAATTGTCTGCACGCCCTTTATTAAATGAGAGTCTGCATGGTAGAGATGTACTAAACTGACAGCTTTACGGATACGGATACGGGAGGCCCTGGCTCGCATCTTCCTAGCGTAATCGCTCAGCCCAAGTGGAATCTGTCGAGATCCAGATTTCAGTGATTTCATCTCAATGGGGTAAAACTGATACCTATCAAAGATGGGATTTATCAGCACTTAGCAAGGGGCCGGTGTGTAGGTTTGACCTCGCAGTCGTATTGCTCAATATCGAGGGGGTTGAAGAGTGTTGACAGTCAAAGTACATGTAGTCGTGGATACAGGTAAGAGGTACTCCATTCATGTCACCCCTCGAACCTCCAATTCAGGTGCCTGGGCGTTTGCTAGAATAAGGTACGAGTGCCAGACAACACTGGAGCTTAAAAACTGCCCAACATGGCAATTCCGGTGGAGCGGTGAGGCGCTACCTTATTCCAGCTTGGATGCGTGTACAATTGGGTGCCATCGAACCATGTACTGGGTACATGAACATGTACACGTCTGTCCTTGGTGCATGGAGGGGTCCTCCTCCAAATTGAAAGAGCCGAACAACGGCCACTAAGAAAAAATGTGCCCCTCCGCCGTCACTCGGCATCAGGACAGGCTTGACAAGATAGTACCGAGTACACATGGCAGCTGTCCATCTGCGTCCCATTGCAAGATCCAACAAGTCCCTTGTCGTCTTCGTCTTCGTCATTTCATTTCATTTCATCTCATCTCATCCCGTCCAGCCTCGATCCTGCGATCCATAAATTCCTCACCCTCGTCCAAGCACGGCCTGTCACTGTCACTCCATCACTTGGCCTTGCTTGCAATCTGTTGGGCTGGGCTGCACTAGTATATATACCCCTTTGGTCTCACGCCTCTCCCCCCAGAGCCAATTCTTTTCTTCTCCCCAATCCATCCCAAAGCCAGTTCAATTCAATTCAACCCATCCTTTCACTTCAATTGCTCCAAGCTCCTTCAAAATGTCTGGCCTCCCCCCCGTCTACATCGTCTCAGCCGCCAGAACCCCCGTCGGTTCTTTCTTGGGGTAAGAGATTCCCGCCTGTGCTATCCCCCCCTTTCGGACGCGGTTCAGCCTGATGCTGATAATTCGATCCAGTTCTCTGTCCAGCCTGAGTGCCACCCAGCTCGGTGCCGCTGCTATCAAGGGTTAGTCTGCTCTCCAGCACCGCCGTGGCCTCTTGTACCTGATCCTAACAGCATCACAGGAGCCGTTGAGCGATCTGGCGTCAAGCCCGAAGATGTCGAGGAGGTATTCTTCGGCAATGTCCTCTCCGCCAAGTAAGACAACATACCACGATCCTCCCCGCTCGATCAGACAGATGCTTACGATCCTCTTATAGCTTGGGTCAGGCTCCCGCCCGCCAGGCCGCTGTCGGTGCTGGCCTTGGCAAGAACGTCATCACCACCACCGTCAACAAGGTGTGCGCTTCTTCTCTGAAGGCCGTCATCCTCGGTGCCCAAAACATCATGCTCGGTGTCAACCACGTCGTCGTCGCTGCCGGTGCCGAATCCATGTCCAACACCCCCCACTACCTGCCCAACCTACGTACCGGCGCCAAGTACGGTGACCAGACCCTCGTCGACGGTGTCCTCAAGGACGGTCTGACCGACACCTTCAAGAATGAGCACATGGGTCTCCAGGCCGAGCTCTGCGCCGACGAGCACAGCCTCAGCCGTGAGGCTCAGGATGAATACGCCATCAACACCTACAAGAGGGCTCAGGCTGCCACTGAGGCCGGTCTCTTCAAGGAGATTGTCCCCGTTGAGGTCAGCGGTGGCCGAGGCAAGCCTCCCGTTGTCGTCGACCGGGATGACGAGGTCAAGAACCTCAATGAGGCCAAGCTCAAGGGTATGCGCCCTGCCTTCAAGCCTGACGGTACCGTCACCGCCCCCAACGCCGCTCCCCTCAACGACGGCGCCGCTGCCGTTGTTCTAGTCTCTGAGGCCAAGCTCAAAGAGCTTGGACTGAAGCCCATCGCCAAGATTCTCGGCTGGGGTGACGCCGAGCGTGAGCCCGAGCGATTCACCATTGCTCCCGCTGCTGCCATCCCCAAGGCCATCAAGCACGCCGGCCTCACCCCCGATGATGTCGACTACTACGAGATCAACGAGGCCTTCTCCGTTGTTGCCCTCGCCAACATGCAGCTCCTCAACCTCAGCCCCGAGAAGGTCAATGTCTTCGGTGGCTCAGTTGCCATCGGCCACCCCCTGGGTGCTTCTGGTGCTCGTATCCTCTCTACCCTGACCTCCGTCCTGGCAGAGAAGAAGGGCAAGATTGGCGTTGCCGGTATCTGCAACGGTGGTGGTGGCGCCTCTGCTCTGGTCATCGAGAACCTGCAGTGACTACCCACCCTGAATCAGCTTCCGCACTGGAGGCATCAAAATTATAGCATTATGAATATATGAATGAATAATTGAAGCGAGGTAGAAAAAGCTTGGCAGGGCGAAGAGGTATAGACCCGCCCGCAATATATACCGCCATAGACCAATGTGAAATTTGGCTGGGCTGGAGTTGGATCGTACATAGGGAATATCAAATGAAAAAAACAAATTATTCAAAAAGTTTACACCTGCAGAGCTTTGTAAGTAATGTTCAGTCTTCTAATAAGCAGATACACCAGAGGATTACCGGGTCAAGGCGAACTTCTTAACTTCTCACACTACTAAGCTTACATCTCTACGACGAAACGACTCCATCTTCGTAGTAACAACCCTGCGTATCAATTGAAGCTACACTGGAGCTACCTGTACAGAGTTTCAATGAGGATAAAAAAAAACATAAAACGTAACCTAAGCACAAAAGTAACATTGCATATGGAAAAAAAAAAAAAGGAAAAGCACGCTGCAAGATGAACTACTTGGCAAAGAGCCTCACCCTCGTCGATATCCATTCCATCAACGGCGTCGAGCCAGTCCTGTTTTTCGTCTGAAGTGCTCTTGCCATCCGCTTCGCCTGCTGTACTTTTGTTTCCCGCGAGACATTTCTTTTCTGTTTTTTTCTTAAAGCATGCAGCCAGTAGACGAGAAGAAGAAGAAATTAGAAGAAAAAAAGGCAAAAGTAAACACAAAAAACAAGAGTGCAACCCAATTCCGCTCGAAGTATGCCTGCAGAGTCCTCCTTTCAAAGAGAAAGGGATAGAGGGAGAGAAAAAAAAAATGCAACAGAAAAACAAAGAGCAAAAGAGTGGAGGGAGTTCTGCTTCCCTTGAAAACCATAACTCATGTCCCACACATACTCATTAGAAAACAGCTGGAACGGTTCTCTAATCCATATCCACATCCTCATTAGAAACAGCCGGAGAGATTCCCTCGTCCATCCACTTGCGGAAGTTCTTGTTCTGCTCTTGGACTTCCTCGGGGCTCATATCCTTGGCCCACGCTGGGTTGTGCACCATCTTCTCAAGAAGCTTCAGCTCCCGAAAGTTGCTGAGCGTCTTTGTGAATTTTTCGCGCTGCTCGCGCTGCTCCTTAGACTTTGGCGCTTGGTCGTAGATGAAATACTCGGAAGTACCAGGTGCCCAGATCATCTTGGAGCTCTTGAGACAAATACTGACAGTGAGGTTCTCCCTGTATGACACAGGTTTGGGGATAGCATCCTCATCAGATTCGGACTCTCCAGAGGGCAGATTGCGGGTGAGAACAACCTTCTGCAGCTTCGATCTGGGAACACCTTCGGTAGGCTCCACTCGAATGAAGGAGGAGATGTAATATTGCCACCTCTCGCGCAGGCGCATTTCATCCATATAAAAGGTCGTCTCATCTCGCTGGAGCCATCGAATCGTGGCTTCTGATTTTTGAGCGAACTAGAGTCAAGCGTCAGTAGACATGAACATGCAAATGTCACATAAACCCCCATATTTTATACAACTTACCCAACAGATAACAAACAGGTCGCCATCCTTGACACATTTCTCAGCGAACTTTCTCGCGCTGATTTCAGTCTGGTAGCTCGTTTCCTCTCTTTCTCGGTTGGCCATGTACTGCTGGATAAGATCCGGCGTCTTCTCTTTCGAATCGAGGCTCTTGCAAGTCAGGGCCAGACGACAGAGAGTCTTGAGCAGATCTTGAATAGTGTACAGCTTCCAGCCGTTCTTCAAGTAATAATGTCGCATGACATCCTGGTATCGGTTCTCGTCAATCTCGCCAGTAATGTAGTCCTCGATAAGCTCAATAGTCTTGGGCCAAAACTTGGCAGGCTCTTCATTGGGTTCGAAGAATGTCATGTGGTTCTCAGTGAATCCAAGATCTCTGGCAGGCTTAGACTTGTTGAGGCGGTGAATCTCAACTGCAACGGCCTCCTTACTGTCCTTGATATCCAGGAGTCGCGAGTACAGCGTCTGGAAGATGCTGAAGAAGACAAACATGGTTTGGTTGCAGAAAAAATTGTACCACGGGCGAGTGAAGAAGCCGTCTGCCTTGAGCTCGCCATCGGCGTCCAGGAACGCATTATCGTTGTCTCCGACCACGACTGGCTTAGGGATACTAGGCATCCATCGCTCGTTCGACACCTCGGGGACGGCAGAGTCGTCGTTAGCATCAGCCATCTCTTCTTCATTGGCAGATCCGACCTCGGGAGTCGTCTCCTTGCTGCCAGAAGCCGCGCTGTCCTCTTTCTGGTTCCGCGGTTTGCTGCCGTTTCGGCCAGGGTCAAGAACCCCTCTAAGGAGATCACCCTTCTTTCCATTGCGGCGACTGCGGCCGTTGGTCAGCTCAGCTGGAGTTTGATCTTCAATCTCCTCTTCGCCAGATTCAGGCTGCATCTTTGGGACTCGCTCCTGGACCACGTCTTCGGGGAGATCAAAGAAGGCGGGAACGAATGTCTCGAAGAAGTCGAGGATACGTTCCTTCTCTTGGCCACTGTGCTGTCCATTGTGCATGCTATACAGCATCATCAGACGCAAGAGGTCGAGTACGACCTCCTTGTCCTTGAAATCCCAAACAAACTGGTGGCGAGGAGCTTTGCCCTTAAGAATGCGCTCGCGACGTTGCTCTTCATGCTTGGTCTTGATTACATCAACCAGATGCTTTGCCGTCAGGTTCCTCTTATCCGTTGATTTGACTAGGATGCCCATGTGGTCCAGGCTCTTCAGGTGCATGTTGTGCGTTTGGGCATGCCACACCTTTTCCCACTCTCGCTGCGAAAAGCGCCACTCTTCGTCCTTTTGCTTCATGCGAGCCAGAAGCACAGGGATTACGTCAAACGGGTTGGTATACATGTCATTGACGACATCAATACCACGCTCTCCATAAATCTTCTTGCATATGCGCTTGAAGATGGAAGTGCTTTGGCCGGCAAGAGCGGAGGGCATGTGAAATCCCTCCCTTTCGGCTGGGGACATTGCAAGCATTTGCTGAGCAATAGGCTCCAATAGCTGGATGCACTTCAGGTTTGCTTCAATGTTGAAATCGTAGTCATGGCGCTCTTCTTCGATGCGATGAAGACCCTCTTCAAACTGGTTTTTACGGTGAGCGACAAACCCAGAATCTTCACTAGCCCAGGTTGGGTGTGAAGCCCACTCGTCGTTCAGGACGGAATTGCAAAGCTCATCACGGCCGCTGCAAGGCTTAAGGCGCTCCTGTAGTAACATGTCCGTTAGCTGACTATGAACCGAACTGAAGTGCATTCGTCGTTGCGATTGCTTACCCTCTTTGGCAAGAGTCTATAGCTTGGCCCATACCCGCGGCAGTTGCTCAGAGACACCTTTTCAAGTGGTGGCGCAGGCCTATTATCGATGACCACATCTTGGGAGTCGACGCCAACAAATGCCTTCCAGAAAGCCATCAAATCTGGGCTGGCACCAATAAAAAGAGCACCCTTGTGGTAAAGAGTGTTCTTATCAATGATGTTCTGACTGAACAAGTTGCAGAGTTTCAGGAATTCGTTCATCGAAGATCGATTGCTGAGGAATTTCTTAACCCGCTCAAAGAAAGCAATCTCTTCCTGGTTTGAAGTGGCAGGGGAACGAGGGGGGTAAGGTTCGGGCATGACAGGCGTAAGGGTGGGCTCAATGGAGATGCCATCCCCGCTGCCTCTCGCGTGGCTGAGTCTCGGCCGCTTGCTGCCGTTAATAGTTTGCGGAGGGAGACGGGTTGGAACGGGAGCTTCGGTAAGGAGTGCGCCGGGAGTAGGGGTTTGCTTGTCAGTCCGCGGCCGCTTCTTGTTGTCCTTACCGGCGCTGACAGGTGGGGGGAAGCTCCCCAAGGGGGGCATCTTCTGGCCATCCCTCATGCCGGGTTGAGGCGTGTGACTGGATCCAGCAACGGCGCCGTCGTCCGGACGACCAGGAGGTGCCCGAGCTTGGCCAGCAGACTCCGGCAAAAACTGCTTGAAGTCTTCCAGGAGATCCGGTGCCGAGTTGAAGAGGGTCGTCACTTGGGCATATACATCTTGGATCGGCTTTTGCTCTCTCTGGTAAGTCTGAAGAATCTCAAGGAACTGTTTATATATCTCCGGCTTATCCTGAAAGCGATTCTACGCGTAGTTGAATTAGTCGAAAGCTTGAGAGCCGATGCTTTAAATATGGGCACTTACTTTAATTTTATTGACATAACTGATGGCATGATTAAACTCGACGGGGCCGCGGCGCTCCATGTTTGCCGGATTAGCAGCACCGCCATTGACTGCGCCTGGGCCAGAAGTGGGCATTGGCGTGTGAGCATTCCTCGCATTTGGTCCGCCAGGCGGGCCAGCACTTCCTGGCATCTGAGGGGGGTTGCGTTGTTGGTGACCTCCTGGGCCATCAAACGCACCTTGGGTCGCAGCTTGAACGAACAAATTTGCCCCATTCTGAACCGGGGTGCTAAAGGCGGCTTCTGGGCTCTCAATGCTGTGCTGGGGTCGTTGCTGCCATTGGTTTCCACGTTCGGGGAACAAGGGCTGGCCACCAACGGCAAGCCCATGGCCATCAGGCTGAGGCCCTCGTCCAGCGATGGACTGGACTGTAGTTCCCATGGGAGTAGTAACTCGGATAGTATTGGGGTCATTGCCGGCTCCGCATTCTATTCGGTATCCAGGAGGGAGGAAGGTGTTGAACCCTTGGATCAGATTTGGATGCCCAGCAAAGAGTTCAGAGACTCGGTTAATCACCCCAGGGGTGTCAATCCTGAATGCATGTCAACGTTTGAAATCTGCTAGAACCCTATACTTTACGTACGCCTGGCTCTTAAAGTCTTTCATAATGTCCAGAAACCGATTGTAAACATCGGGTTGGTCGTGAAACTGCACTTTGACTTGATCAAGGTAGGTAAGGGCATCCTAAGGGATCGAGAACGTTAGTCACTGCCCAGTAGAAATATTCATAATACGAGATTCAACGGCACATGAAAGTGATGATAGAAACCCC